CCTGCAGCCACTGTTTTCCAAATTTACTGGCATAATGAGTGCAGCACTTTCACAGCATCATCTTTCAGGATTTGAAATAGCTCAACTGGAATTCCATCACCTCCATTAGCTTTGTTTGTAGTGATGCTTCCTAAGGCCCACTTGACTTCACATTCCAGGATATCTGGCTCTAGGTAAGTAACCACCCCATCATGGTTATCTGGGTCATTAAGATCTTTTTTGCATAGTTCTTCTGTGTATTCTTGTCACCTTTTCTTAATATCTTCTGCTTCTGTTAGGTCCCTACCATTTCTGTCCTTTACTGAGCCCATCTTTGCATGAAATGTTCCCTTGGTATCTCTAATTTTCTTGAAGAGATTTCTAGTCTTTCCCATTCTATAGTTTTCCTCTATTTCTTTGCACTGACCACTGAGGTAGGCTTTCTTATCTCTCCTTGCTATTCTTTGGAACTTTGCATTCAAATGGGAATATCATTCCTTTTCTCCTTTGCATTAGCTTCTCTTCTTTTCTCAGCCATATGCAAGACCTCCTCAGACAACTATTGTGCATTTTGGCATTTCTTTTTGCATTTCTTTTTTCTTTGGAATGGTCTTGATCCCTCCCTTCTGTACAATGTCCCAAATCTCTGTCCATAGTTCTGCGGGCACTCTATCAGATCTAATCCCTTGAATCTATTTGTAACTTCCATTGTATAATCATAAGGGATTTGATCTAGGTCATACCTCAATAGTCTAGCTGTTTTCTCTTTCTTCAATTTAAGTCTGAATTTGGCAATAAGGTGTTCATGATCTGAGCCAGAGTCTGCTCCCAGTCTTGTTTTTTTCTGACTGTATAGAGCTTCTCCATCTTTGGCTGCAAAGAATATAATCAATCTGATCATGGTATTGGCCATCTGGTGATGTTCATGTGTAGAGTCCTGTGTTGTTGGAACAGGGTGTTTGCTCTGATCAGCGCCCTCTCTTGGCAAAACTGTTAGCCTTTGACCATCTTCATTCTGTACTCCAAGGCCAAATCTGCCTGTTACTCCAGGTGTTTCTTCCCTTCCTACTTTTGCATTCCATTCACCTATAATGAAAAGGACATATTTTTGGGGTGTTAGTTCTAAAAGGTCTTGTAGGCCTTCATAGAACCATACAACTTCAACTTCAGCGTTACTGGTCTAGGCATAGAGTTTGATTACTGTGATATTGAATGGTTTACCTTGGAAAGGAACAGAGATCATTCTGTCATTTTTGAGACTGCATCCAAGTCCTGCATTTCAAACTCTTTGTTGACTATGATGGCTACTCCATTTCTTTGAAGGGATTCTTGCCACAGTAGTAGATATAATGTTCATCTGAGTTAAGTTCACTCATTCTAGTCCATTTTTGTTCACTGATTCCTAGAATGTTGATGTTCACTCTTGCCATCTTCTGTTTGACCACTTCCAATTTGCCTTGATTCATGGACTTAACATCCCAGGTTCCTATGCAATATTGCTCTTTACAGCATCAGACTTTACTTTCATAACCAGTCACATTGACAACTGGGTGTTGTTTTTGCTTTGGCTCTGTCTCTTCATTCTTTCTGGAGTTATTTCTCCACTGATCTCCAGTAGCATATTAGGCACCTATCAACATAGGTGGTTCATTTTCCACTGTCCTATCTTTTTGCCTTTTCATACTGTTCATGGGGTTTTTATTGCAAGAATACTGAAGTGGTTTGCCATTCCCGTCTCCAGTGGACCATATTTTGTCAGAACTCTCCTGGACCTGGTATATAACTGGTAAATAATACGTGGAACCTGGTAAATAACCCTGGACCTGGTAAATGACTGGCAAACGTTTGTACTGTAGATGTCTGTCCTAGGGAAGGATAGGATTTTGGTCAGTTGTGCTAACACAAGATAAAGTACTACATGACTGAGGATGTGTTTCTGGGAAGTTCTCTTGGCTGTGATTTCAGCAATTGGACACTGCATGGCAGTTAGTTATTAGCACTGCTGCCTGAAGAAAGAGGTTAGTACCCTGAGATGCATAAGTACATTCCGTCTGGACTAGGTGGACCTGTCTGCCCTTGAGTCTAACCTTGGTCACAATAGTTACCTCCTTTTTTAATGAACAAGGTAAATCTGTGGCCCTCTCCTAACCAGTTGTTCAAGTCCACTTTTCATTTTCTTCTGTCTTTCTCTCTCAGCCTCTCTCTTATTCTTCCTCTATATTATAAATACATTGAGCTTTCTAATTATGTTTTCATCTGAGATATAAAAAATGACAATACTTTCACAGTGACTTCCATAGAGATGGTCAGAAAATTGCTCTTTGGAGGAACTGTATAGTCAAAGAAAACACAATAAAAAAAACTCCAGATTTTGGAGTATGTGGAAGAAAAAAAAAATGCAGCTTTCTACTCATTAACCATACAGTGAAGCAAACTCATCAACAAAGTTTGCTGCTAAAATCTGCTACCTTACTGCTTCTGACCATATATATATATACTATCTAGGAATCACCCAACACTTAAGCAAGGCCTCAGGCAAACAGACAAAATTCAACAAAAGACAAGCTAAACATTCAAAAAACAGAAATTATTGGTAGAAGAGAAAACTGAAGAATTGCTCCCACCCCATAAAAAACCTCAGACTAAAAACACATCTATAAAACATGAAAAGTTTTGTAAAAAAGGACATTTGGGGAGGACACAAGCTAAAAATGGGATAGTCAAAGTTTAAATAAACTAAGGTATGAAATATCAAATGAGATATTCTCTCAGAATTTTAAATAAACAAAAAAAATTCAGAGGTGGAAACTAGGGGAGAGAGAGAGAAAGAGAAGAGGGGGGAGGGGTGCATGGAGAAAATGGGAATTAAGAAGTATTGTGAATCTGAACATCCTATTAGGAAAGGAACTCAGGTTTGTCTTGGGCATGCGAAAGAGAAGGAATGCTTACCACCAGCATCTGACTCACTAAAACATCAGGATACTGGGGTCCACAGAAAACTAACCTGGATGGTGTTTTTGTTTATTTTCCCTAGAAGCAGGGGAGGGTGGATGGGAGGGAATGACTGAAGCATGTCTCCTAAATATATATTCTCTGTGTCACAGCTCATTCTTTTTTAAATAAAATGGTCCATATCTTCTTTGAAGACTTGCAGACAATTTGTAGGAGAGTCCTCAAAATATTTTGCAAAGAATGGCTCAACACATTATGTTAATAGACAGCATTCTTATTTTGAGAGATCTTTCCATATCCCAATTCACTGAGCCAACTATTATGGTTATTCAAGGCCTCAATTCTTCTCTAAAGAATGGATTCTAAATTTTCACAGACGCTAATTCAAAATAGGACTCTCCATAACACACCATACTGAGAACTTTTGGGGTCACTTGAAGTTATTGCAGATGTGGATCTATTTATTATCTACAATGACAAGGTTAAGCCCTGGAAAAAAGCACTGGCATTTCTCCAAATCTCAAAACTTAAAGTAAACATTTTTTAGAGACACAACAAGTGGCAAAGTTTAACTTGAATGATCTTTGAGAGGCTAGCATCCAAGACAGGGATTGAGCCTTGCAGAACTTCTGGTAGAGGACAAACAGGGAATCAGGACTGGTCAACATGATAAAATGACTGTAAATGCAAGGTTGGACTCCATCAGTCATGCCAGGGGAATAACTAGTGCTACCTCAATGAGAAGTACTGAATACACTAATAGGGCTGATCACCAAACATCTGACATATTTCACTGCTGTCAATATTATATTCAGGAATGACAATCAAATGTATAACTGGGATGGCCTAAGACCAATGCTATCAGAATAGATGCTAGATTAAATAGAATTACAAAGATTTCTCCCCCAGTTTTCCATCCCCTAGTTAGCTGATCAAACACTTGTCTAGATACTGCTAGGAAAGTTATTATTACGTTGGTGCAAACATAATTACAGTTTCAGACCATGTGTTTTAACTAGGCTTATTGTAACAAAGGCTCAAACCCATCTTTCTTAATCAAAATAGGAACCATTACAATCAACACATTTTTGCCAATGAGAAATAAGTTGGTTTATTCCTGTAGCATAAAAATCTGTGCTTCAGGATTTGATGAACTCTTGGTAGTTTGCTGGCAAGAGATCACATCTCATAGTGGATGAGGCAAAACTTCATAGCCCAATTCATTCAATTTTTGAAGCATTGGTTGTCTGATGTGTGGTTGGGCATTGTTGTGGAGAAAATTGGGTCCTTTGTGTTGACCAATATTGGCTGCAGACACTGCAGTTTTCCGTGCATCTCATCAATTTGCTGAGCATACTTCTCAGATGTAATGGTTTCACTGGGATTCAGAAAGCTGAAGTGGATAAGATGGGCAGCAGGCCATCAGACAGTTACCATGAACTTTTTTGAGTGCAAGTTTGGCTTTGGGAAATGCTTTGGAGCGTCTTCTTGGTACAACCACTGAAATAGTTGTCACCAGTTGTAGAAAATCCACTTATTGTCGAATGTCGCAATCCAATCAAATGTTTATTGTTGTCGCATAGAATAAGAAAAGATGACACATCAAAGTGAAGATTTTTTTGATTTGCAGTCAGCTCATGAGGCACCCACTTATTGAGCTTTTTACCTTTTCAATTTGCTTCAAATGCCCAATGACTGTAGAATGGTCGACACTGAGTTCTTTGGCAACTTCTTGCATACTTGTAAGGACCAGCTTCGGTGACTGCTCCCAGTTGGTCATTGTTAACTTCTGACGGCCAGTCACTGCACTCCTCATTTTCAAGGCTCTCATCTCTGCTGCAAAACTTCGTGAGCCACCACTGTACTGTTCACTCATTAGCAGTACCTGGGCCTAATGTGTTGCTGATGTTGTGAGTTGTCTCTGCTGCTTTGCAACCCACTTAAGAATATTGCTCGAATTTGCTTTTGGTCTAACATCATTTCTATAGTATAAAATAAATATAAAAGTCACAGCAAGTAACAAATCATTAGCAAAAAAACCCATAAAATGAGAAATGCATATTAAAATGAGGTATAACTACATTTAAGAATGTATTCTAATATCAAATGCCAAATTTCAACAATGCAAAAGCTGCAATTACATCTGCACCAATCTCATCTTTTCCTTCTGATGGATCCTGCAGTTTAGCTTTGTTCTTAACATCAGTTTTACTCAGCCTGTCTGCTGTAACAGAATTCCATAGTTTGGGAGGCTTTAACAATAGAAAATTTTTTCCAACAGTTCTAGAAGCTGAGAAGTCCAAGATCAGGGTGTCAACAGATTTTATTCCTGGGAAGGGCCCTCTTCCTGGCTTGCAGACAGCAGCTTTCTCCCTCACAGGACAGAGAATGAGCTCTTGTCTCTCTTCTTCTTAAAAGGATTCTAAGCCCATTATGGGGCCCCACCCTCATGATCTCATCTAAACCTTAGTGTCTTTCAAAGGCCCATCTCTAAATACTGTTACATTAGGGGAACAGGGCTTCAACATATGAAATTTGGGGGACACACATTCAGTTCTTAAGATTATGATGCAGTAGTCAAGGTAGATGCCAAGGTCTCCAGTATTTGCAGAAGCTTTTCTTGGGGTTTAGTTTCCTGACTGTTGAAGTGGCTGTGCTGACATCAGAGATCTGGGCTGCTTTTGAGGTGCTGACCGAGCTAGCACCAACAGTGGTACTGCCCACCCCTAGACCACACCTCAGTCCATCTCTGCAGAAGGGAGGGGAAAACTGTAGAGATCCAGGAGCTTTCAATTAAATGTTACTTTTTAACCTCTCCTTCCCCAATGAATCCCAAGACTTCTCTGTTCAGTTTTACACGGAAGAAATCTTCCATCTCTTGCTTAGTGTAATCCACAACATTGCCACATCCTTTCCATTGAGGTGGTGAATGAGGGTGGGTAGATAGCCTTTTGACTACTGTGCATACTTCATTTTATATTCTAATTTTCAATTTTGTCCTCCTCTTTATTTGCTATTACTAAGTCATCATCTCTCTGGGGTTCTGTGGAGATAAATTTTTATTCTTATACATTTCTTCAGAGGTAGACCCCTCAGAGATACTGTGAGCTTGGTTACGGTTCACTGCAATAAAGCAAATGTCACAAGAAGGTGAATAACATGAAGTTTTTTGGTTTCTCAGTTCATATAAGTTATGCTTATACTATACTGTAGTCTATTAAATGTGCAATAGCATTATGTCTAAAAACCATATACACACACATATACCTTAATTTAAAAATAATTTATCCCCTCCAAAATGTTAACCATCATCTGACAACACAGGGTTGCCACAAAGTTTTAATTTGTAAAAAGCACAGTACCTGCAAAGCCCAATATAACAAGGTATGTATGTGGAATAATACAGTCTTCTGTAGTTTGCACCAGAAGACAGGTGCAAGAATAATGACTACAGCATAGTCATCACTTAATAAAATTATAAAAATAATTGATAATTGTGAAAAATTTAAAATGAAGTATACCTACATAATTAGATTACTGATACAGTTCTGCATCAAAGGCTTGGAGATTTCTAAGATGCATTCCAGAGAACAGTTTGCATAAAATAATCCTATTGGCATTAAAAAAAAAAACAAAACTATGTGTATGTTCATTTTTGTAATATACATCTTACACAGACAACATTTATTGAGTTCTTACTGTATGACAGGCATCCATTTAAATCCTTTACATATTTATTTTTCTTAATTCTGATAAAAATGTTATGGAGTAGATGCTATTATCATCCTCATTTTACATATTAAAAATGAGGCACAGAAATGAGCAGGTAACTTTCACAATGTCATAGATATGGTAAGTGGATGAGGTGGGATTCAGGCCAAAGTGCCTTGCTTTTTCTCCTTTCATCTCATTTTCTCAGTTTTTCTGTCTATTCCCATCCCTTCCAATGCCCTTCTTCTCTCCTCCCATCTACCTCTCTTAGTTAAATCTTAGAATGCCTGTTAACCACTGTTGACAGTGTAATGAAAACAAAAACAGGAGGTGGAGAGAACAGGGTTTCCCTTTTTTCTTCATGTCTGGCTTTATTATTCAGAAGATCATGTGTTACTTTTGTAAACAACAAAAAAAGTTAAATATCAATGAAGGCATTTCTGTTCAAGTTAAGAAAAATGTATTTATTCCATGGTTATGTGCCAGCTCTGGGGCAGAAAATTAAACATTCTACACACCTGGTCACTTTGACACTTCAACTAATTAAAAATATCATTTGACATAAAGGAGGAGGCAGTGGGATCAGATAAAGATGGCAGAGTAGAAGGATGTGAAACTCACCTCCCTCCCCAAAACACATAAAAAATAAATCTACATGTGGAAAAATTCTCATGGAAAACTAACTGGAAACAGGAAAAAGAACTCCTATACAACCAAAGCTGCAAGAAAGATTTCAACATCATCTGGTAGGACACAAAAAAGGCACAGGGTCAGGACCTCTGCCCCTGGGGGAGCTATGAAAGTAGAAAAGCTCCACATGGGCAGACCCTTTCTCTAAGCAATGCATGGCTTGAGCCACAGACTGGGCATCCCATCCTGGGGCCATACACAGGGAAAACCAGTGCCTTTGGCTGATGAGAGAATCTGGTGGGAGGGATAGAAAAGTTGGAGAATTTCAGACTCCACTCACAAAGAGTGTGTGGGTGCTGGTCTACCAACAAACAGGGAAGAGAAAGCTCTGTACTGGTAGCTGACACCTTTCGCCACTTTCCAATCCAAACGGGGTGTACACTCAGTTCCATTCATCCCATACCACAGCTTGGCCCTCCACAGACAAGTCTTGGGAAAAAACCTGATGTAGGGACACAGATAAGCCTAGAGAGCATATTAAAAAGTGGAGACATTATTTTGCCCACAAAGGTCCATATAGTCAAAGCTATGGTTTTTCTGGTAATCATGTATGGATGTGAGAGTTGGGCTATAAAGAAAGCTGAGCACTGAAGAATTGATGCTTTTGAACTGTGGTGTTGGAGAAGACTCTCTTGAGAGTCCCTTGGACTCCAAGGAGATCCAACCAGTCCATCCTAAAGGAAATCAGTCCTGAATATTCATTGGAAGGACCGATGCTGAAGCTGAAACTCTAATACTTGGCCACCTGATGTGAAGAGCTGACTCATTTGAAAAGACCCTGATGCTGGGAAAGATTGAACTCGGGGGGAGAAGGGGACAACAGAGGATGAGACAGTTGGATGGCATCACTGACTCAATGATCGTTGAGTTTGAGTACACCCTGGGAATTGGTGATGGACAGGGAGGCCTGGCAAGCTGCAGTCCAGGGGTCACAAAGAGTCAGACACGACTGAGCGACTGAACTGAACTGAACTGAGGGACACAGAGATGGACTGAGGTGTGATCTAGGGGTGCGAAGTGCCAGTGTTGGTGTTAGGTCAATCAGCACCTCAAAAGTAGCCCAGATCTCTGATGTCAGCACAGCCACTTCAATTCCTGCAGCTACAATGTCCTAACCTCTGTCCTGAGCCCAGAGAATGCTCCAGCCATACCCACTCCAGCCACAACCTTGCATCATACCTGGGGCAACAAGAGGGGAAGGGACATGATCACTAGGCTTTGTCTGAGCAGAGCTGTTGACACCTACACAGGCAACCTATTGGACTTCCATAAGTGCATGAATCTCTCTAGCACTCCTCTCCTCTGGGGCAAAACAATATTCAAAGTGAACAGAGCCATCTTGAACTCAGGCCTCAGGGTGCCTGCTCCAGCAACTGGGGAGCAGACTTCACCCCTGACTGGTGAGTGCCAGCCACAAAGAAGAAAAGAAGTCCTGCCTCACACCCTGCACAGGCTTTAGACCATACCTCCTAGCAAGGTGATATTTGCCAACACACCTTGAGGAAAGACACATTCAGTTTACACAGGATTGCTCCCACATAAAATCACCCCTTCAAGACAAGAGATAGCAAAAAATAAATAAATAATAATAATAATAAGTAAAATTAAAAGAAAGAGGAACTACTCCCAACTGAAAGGGCAAGAGAAAAATTGAAAAAAATAATTAAACAGAGACCATTAGTATTCCAGGCACTAAACGGGACACAAAACTAGAACAAACAACACTAAAATTCACAGAAACAACAAAAGATCCTGAATTGCCAAAGCAAACCTGAGAAAAAAAGAATACAACTGAAGGTATCACTCACCCAGACCTCAAACTATACTAGAAAGCTACAGTAATCAAAACAGCATAGTTTTGACACAAAAATCCATAGATCAATGGAACAAAATAGATAGATATTCCCAGAAATAAACTCACACATCTATGGTCAATTAATCTATGACAAAGGAGGCAAAAGTATACAATGGAGAAAACACAGTCTCTTCAAAAATGCTGGGAAAATATGACAGCTACATGTAAAACAATGAAATTCAAATGTTCTCCCATACCATATACAAAAACATACATAAAAATAAACTATTTTAAAGACCTACATGTAAGACATGACACCATAAAACTCCTAAAAGAGAACAGAAGCAAAATACTCTTTGACATAAACCCTAGTGATATTTTGTTAGTCTCCTAAAGCAAATAGAAAAAAGCAAATTAAGCTTAGGTTGAAAAAGCTTGACCCAGCAAAGGAAACCATCAACAACACAAAAAGCCAACTTACAGAATGGGAGAAAATATTTGCAAATGATATAATTGACAAGGTGGTTAATGTTTAAAATATACTGCTCATACAACTCTATTCAAAAAACAAATTATATCAAAAAAAGGGGGGAGAGGGGAACAAGACTTGAAGAAACATTTTTCCAAAGAAAACATACATGTGGCCAACAGGCACATGAGAAGATGCTCAACATCACCAATTGTTAGAGAAATACACAGCAAAACCACAACGAGGTTTCACCTCACACCTGTCAGAATACCCATAACAAATGTTGGCGAGGGTGCTGAGAAGCAGCCCTGCCACACCATTAGTGAGCAACTAAAGTGGCACCGCCACTATGAAGAGAGTATGGAGCTTATTTAAAATGTAAAAATAAAGTTACCAGTTGATCAGCAACTCCACTCCTGGGCATATTTGGGGAAAAAAGGAAACACTAATTTGAAGAGATGCAAGTGCCCCAATGTTCACAATAGCACTATTTACAATAGCCAAAGAAATAAAAACAACACAAGCATCCATCCATATGACTAGAGTAAGAAAAAGTGGTCTGCATATACAAGAGAATACTATTCAGCCATAAAAAGAATGAAATAGTGCCCTTTGCAACAATGTGGATTTACCTAGAGAACGTTTTATGCTTAGTGAAATGTCATACGGAGGAAAACAAGTACTATACAATATCACTTATAAGTGGACTCTAAAAAAATAATACAAATGAATGTACAATATATACAAAACAAAAACAAACTCACTGGCATAGAAAACAAACTTGCCATTACCAAAAGGCAGAGAGAGAAGGAGTGTAACAAATCAGGACTATGCAGTTAACAGATATACATTTATCACACGTAAAATAGATAAGCAACAGGATACACTATAGAGCCTGGCTACACAGGAGACTTCAGAGAGGCGGGTTTGATCCCTGGGTCAGAAAGATCCCCTGGAGAAGGGAACAGCAACCCACTCCAGTATCCTTATCTGGAGAATCCCATGGACAAAGGAGCCTGGTGGGCTACAACCCATAGGGTCACATAGAGTCCGACAGGACTGAAGCGACTTACTACACACACGTAAGGAAACTAACTCAGTATCCTAATCTCTAACGAAGTATAACCTCTAAAATAACTGAATCACTATGGTGTACACTTGAAATCAAAACAATAATATAAACCAACTATACTTGAATTTAAAAAGAAATTACAAATTAGAAAAAATAGCTTCACCTCACCAATAAAAGAGAAGGGAGAGAGCGTGACCAAGAAAGAGATCACCAGGAAAAGCACGCTTAATCAGTCCCTATTTTTATTCTGAACACCCCCGTTCCTCGTTTTGAAGCGACAGGATTCTAATGGGTGGCAGTCAACGCCATAATCAAGGAAGCTCCCCCTCAGGAGGCGCCGAGAGCCCACCCAGGAGGCGGCCACTCTTCTGTTACTCGTTTTCCAAGTTTAAGCTGGAGTCCATGTTCCAGTTCTTTGAGGCCCTGAGCCTCAGAACCAACGTTTTTAGAGCCTCGCTGGGGTCAAGAAAGGGAGCAGGCACTCTCCCTGCGCCTCTAGCCTCACCAGAACAGTGGTCTCACCTCCCCGTCTCACACCCACCTGCAGCGACTTCGTCCCCAGACAAGGAGAACCACCAAGCCCGCGACCTCAGCCCCCACGCTCCGACCGCCTGGAACCGGAACCACGGCCGAGGCAGGACGCATGCGCAAGAGCAGGCTGGCCGGTGGGGGCGGGGCACGAGGCGGGGCTTCGTGTTGGCGTCACGGGCTGGGGCAGCGGTCCAGCCTCCAAACGCTACCCCAGAACCACAGCAGGGGCTCAAGAAAGCGGGCCACCTGGCCTAGTGGTATCCCGGCCATTCCCAGGACCTTTCCAAAGTTTCCCTGCCTGAAACCGCCTTGGAGACTTGGGCATCACGTAGTACCTCTCTTCGCAGCATGGAGCAGGGCTGGATCATGAACAGAACCTGGGCTCGGGTATCTGCCAGTATTTGGGGGTCTTAGAAGAGACAATTAATAGAGCCTGCTAGCTGTCGTTTAAAGGTAAGCATTAATGAATGTGGCTAGAGCCAAAACTATGTTAGGCAACCTGGAACACCAGAAGAAGTGTGAAGATGGGTGGTTTATCACATAGAAACGAAAATCAGTAGCTCAAGCGTCCACCTGCCCGAGTTGAACCTGACACTACTGCTTAATATCTGTGGACTCCCAGGGAGTTCCTCCCTGTACGTTCCTTCCTTGGCTCCTCTCTGAAATTGGGTAATGGTCAAAAGTTTCAAGAGTTAGGGTCTGACGTGTGTCCGTGTGAACATTGCTAGAGTCTGGCGCTGCAGAATCACTCAGTAAACGTTAGTTTTATTACTTTGGATATCTGACCAAGTTCTTGCTTCTCTAAGCTCGCTGAGTCCGCGTGGATTTTTTTAGGTAGTTACTCCTGAAAATTCTGACATGGCCACTTTCCCAAAGGCAATAACTGATTCTCCTAATTTAGCAATTTGAAATACTGGGTTAGTACAAGTGTCGCTTGCTTAGTGGGAATTGTCAGGTGATTCAGGGTTCTCTTCTTCTTTCTGGAATTTTCTCTTACTACCAGCCTGGTGAGCACTATAATTGTAGGGCTTTGACTATTGAACATACACAAGGAAATGAAAAATAAATGAAATGGGAAATGAGTGAGTTTCGGCAATTGGATAGAAGTGGCATATAAAACAGCTGAGTCATGGATTAGTAGCCTTCACTTTGGTAAAGGAGCTGTTTTTTCTGATTGAAAGGAGGGAAATAATACTGTATACATTGTTGAATCAATGAGTACCAATTAAGTGTCCTGTCCTCACATGAGGCTTCCCTGGTGGCTCAGTGGTAAAGAATCTGTCTGCCAATGCAGGAGATGTGGGTTCAATCTCTAAAGAAGAAAATGGCAACCCACTGCAGTATTCTTGCCTGGGAAATCCCGTGGACAGAGGAGCCTGGAAGTCTGTATAGTCCATGGAGTCCCAAAAGAGCAGGGCACAGCTCAGTGACTAAACAACAACAATCTGACAAGACAGGCAATGCTTTGACCTTTGAGAGCTTAGACGAAACCTGTAAAAACGTCCCTGTCCACTTCTCCATCCTTTTGTTTAATCATCTCTCCTTCTTTGCTCTGTGACCTACAGATCTTCATAACTTCTGAGTGAGCCAAGGTCCCTCCCTCCAGCCACAGGACTGCTATCCATACAGTTCCCCCTGCCTCAATGCCTCTCTCCACCCAAGCACACACCTCCATAGCCTGGTTGACTTTAAACTGCTTTTGGCTCTCAGATCTGCGTGTCTTAACAAACCCAGTGCCACCATCACCACCATCCAAACTAATGCTTCTATCATTCTTTCTTATAGCACCACTATTTTTATTAATAGCACTAAGAGTACTGTGATATTATATTTAGCTTTGTTAATTATCTGTCTTCTCTATTTTGGTATAGTGCCTCACATAGGGCCTTGGATGCTGTATGTCTTGATTCAATATTTCTTGGGGAAAAAACCCAACAAGCTTTATATTAAACAAATATATATTTATAGGAATGTATATACATATATGTGTGTATGTATATATACACATGTGTGTGTGTTTATATACACACAAATACTCTGTAGCACTAACTTGAATAGTGATAAATTTAAAGCCAAAGCACTTTAGTTGTCAGTACTAACAAATGTGCCTTTAATTTTTAAAATTTTGTTTTTAATAATTGCTTTAAAAAAGTCTTTCCTGACCTAATAAAAACATAAGCTACAAGAATAATTGAAATTCCATATTTTAATTGCTACATATGGAAGATACATTAGAATAGTCTTTTAACACAAACTCACTCCTATATTTCAAATGGGTAACCAACAAGGATCTACTGGCTTGGAACTCTGCTCAGTGTCCTGTAGTAGACTGGATGGGAGGAGAGTTTTGGGGGTAATGAGTGAGTGAGTGAAAGTCGCTCAGTTGTGTCTGACTCTTTGCGACCCCATGGACTATAGAGTCCGTGGAATTCTGCAGGCCAGAAGACTGGAGCAGGCAGCCTCCCCCTTCTCCAGGGGCTCTTCCCAGCCCAGGGGTCGAACCCAGGCCTCTGGCACTGCAGGCAGATTCTTTACTAGCTGAGCCACAAGGGGGTAATGGATACATTATATGTATGGCTGACCTAAAATTGTTAATCGGCTATACCCCAATACAAAAGAAAAAGTTAAAAAGAGAAGAGAATAGTCTTTTAACAAATTTCATTGAATTTATCAGTTTAGGAGAATATTTTTCAGTGAATGAAGGACATGAGTGCAAAGGACATGGATCATGAACTATTCATATCATGTAGTTAGTGAGCTGTGTAACACTGACTATTAATCTCTGAATTTAGGAAAAACACAAATGTGCAAGGGAGCTCTGAGTTGTCAGAAAAGGTTTTCTAGGCGTAAATAAAGCAACCAAAGTAGGCTAACTGACACAAAGATTAGTGTGTGTGTCTTTGGTCTCTGGTTTGCTAGTTTTGTAGAATACTAGCTGCAATACTAGAGCAACTGTATTGCTCAGTTGCTCCCAGTTAATGTACTATCTATAGTTTTCTCAAGGTTGACTCTGAAATCTTATGCTAATGTGGTTCTAAGCATATTTGTTCTGTTCTCTTGAATCCAAAATACGGAAGTGGTATTTTATCAATAAACTGCCTCCTGTCAGTTTCCTTGCATTGATAACGGCCTCAGTCACCCACTTCTATCCACTGTCTTGGTATGCGTACTGGTGTACTCATATCTTCACCAGCATCTTGGTTTGAAGCCACCTGCATTTTCCCTGTTTGTCCTTCACCAGAGCCACAGTTCAATCAATGAAATGCCTTTGTCCTGGATGTTAACCTTAAATTTTACCTACATAAATTTAAGGTTTAGCTGCATAAATTTTGCCTACAAACATAAACTGAGCAACATGGAAAATGCTTGATTTGTGACTTACCTCAGCAAGTGTTTGGTTCTCCACTAGCTCTGTCTAGTTCCTCCCCTCCTCCTAATCCCCCTAGTCCAGTACCTCATTTTCACTTATTAGTAGGAAGTTAAGGATATAGAATTCTTGGATTGTGCTTAGAGCAACTAATGTTTTGTTAAAATGATTAATAACATATTCCCATCTTGGGACTCAGAAAAATTTTAACTGACTTGGTTTTAGTCAATTAAGTAAATTTAGATAAGTAATCCAAATGTAGTTTATGTCTATTTTTGTAGGCATAGTAGTTATAGAAACTTTCAAAATTTTTAAATTAGGGATGTTTTGCCTTTGGTTTGCAGATTATACTTCAAAATTTTTTGATGCAATAAGATGGAAATTTCAGGACCCTAAAAGATGGGTCCAAAAGGTTTTACCGTGATATGAAGTGTGGATGTCTTCTACACTATTTCTCCTTCTGTCTGATGGTTGAGGTTTATGATTATCAAATGTTAGAGCACCAGTGGTGTCTCATAAGATACATATGTATATATGCCTTAATTTCCTCAGTTCTCATTTAATAATGTTGATTGCTAAATTAACATTGTTAACTATAATAATTCAATTATAATTTGAAGTTCTGTATTTGTCCTGAAGTAATTATGATTCCACTGGCACAGTATATAATATGATTTTTGGAGGTTTTTATTTTAGTACAGGATTAATATGATTTTCTTGGAAGTTTTTCAATGATTTGTTTCATACTAGGAGTAGTGGAAGGCATTATTTAGAAGTTACCATATTAAATTAATTAACATAATTAATTCATCCAGCACACATAGCCCAGTCATTTCCAAAATGAAGTGATATTATGTCTTATGATATACCCATTGGATTTGAGAAAGCCGAAAGAACCTTAAAACAACAAAAGAAACTGGACAGGGATGAACATGAGGGATGTTCAGAGGTTGTTCTGTTCTCTTGAATCCAAAATATGGAAGTGGTATTTTATCAATACACAAGTGCATTATTCTACCTGGTACACATACAGATTCAGCTGTCACTTTACTTTTGCACCCGAACTTCTGACATAACATTTTTCATGCTTGGGATATTATGAACTTGTGAAAATTCTAAAATCTACAGAATGTGAGGACCCAGATTTTATTCCACAGTAGTTTTGCAAACAGGTACTTATTCTCACAAATCCATAGTTTAAAAATGAAAATAATGAGACCAGTACAGTTCAGTCTAGTCGCTCAGTCATGTCCGACTCTTTGTGACCCCATGAACCGCAGCACGCCAGGCCTCCCTGTCCATCACCAACTCCCGGAGTCCACCCAAACCCATGTCCATCGAGTCGGTGATACCATCCAACCATCTCATCCTCTGTCGTCCCCTTCTCCTCCTGCCCTCAATCTTTCCCAGCGTCAGAGTCTTTTCCAAGGAGTCAGTTCTTTGCATCAGGTGGCCACAATATTGGAGTTTCAGCTTCAGCATCAGTCCTTCCAATGAACTCCCAGGAATGATCTCCTTTAGGGTGGACTGATTGGATCTCCTTGCAGTCCAAGGGACTCTCAAGACTCTTCTCCAACACCATAGTTCAAAAGCATCAATTCTTCAGTGCTCAGCTTTCTTTATAGTCCAACTCTCACATCCATACATGACCACTGGAAAAACCATAGCCTTGACTAGATGGACCTTTGTTGGCAAAGTAATGTCTCTGCTTTTTAATATGCTGTCTAGATTGGTCATAACTTTCCTTCCGAGGGGTAAGTATCTTTTAATTTCATGGCTGCAGTCACCATCTGCAGTGATTTTGGAGCCCCAAACAATAAAGTCAGCCACTATTTCCGCTGCTTCCCCATTTGCCATGAAGTGATGGGGCCGGATGCCGTGATCTTAGTTTTCTGAATGTTGAGCTTTAAGCCAACATTTTCATTCTCTTCTTTCACTTTCATCAAGAGGCTCTTTAGTTCTTCTTCACTTTCTGCCATAAGGGTGGTATCATATGCATATCTGAGGTTATTGATTTTTCTCCCAGTAATCTTGATTCCAGCTTGTGCTTCCTCCAGCCCAGTGTTTCTCATGATGTACTCTGCATATAAGTTACATAAGTAGAGTGACAATATACAGCCTTGAAGTACTCCTTTTCCTCTTTGGAACCCGCCTCTTGTTCCATGTCCAGTTCTAACTGTTGCTTCCTGACCTGCATACAGATTTCTCAAGAGGCAGGTCAGGTGGTCTGGTATTCCCATCTCTTTCAGAATTTTCCACAGTTTATTGTGATCCACACAGTCAAAGGCTTTGGCATAGTCAATAAAGCAGAAATAGATGTTTTTCTGAAACTCTCTTGCTTTTTCGATGATCCAGGGGATGTTTGCAATTTGATCTCTGGTTCCTCTGCCTTTTCTAAAACCAGCTTGAACATCTGGAAGTTCATGGTTCACATATTGATGAGACCAAGTAGAAAGGAAAAAAGAAATTTAAGCAGATGAGCTCTGTTAGAGTCTGTTTAGTTTCCCTTCCTTCAATTTCCATGAAAGACAGGAATCGTTTCTGATCTCGTGAAAGGTTAATACTCCTATATTCGTAGTTGGTACTCATCTGGCAAGGACTCTGGAACTTTCCATTGTTTAAGAACCTCCACCTGCACCTAACATGATGCATAGCGTGCATGTGCGCTAAGTTGCTTCAGTCACATCCGACTCTTTGTGACCCTTTGAACTATAGCCCACCAGGCTTCTCTGCCCATGGGATTCTCCAGCAGGCATACTGGAGTGGGTTGACATTTCCTCCTCCAGGGGATCTTCCTGACTCAGGGATCAAAACCACATCTCTGAAGTCTCCTGCACTGCAGGTGTGTTCTTTACCACTAGCACCACCTGGGAAGCCCCATGATGCACAGCAGTAGTATATAAATTCCTTCTTTTTAGCATATTCTTTGTTTCTGACTGGCACTAAATTTCCTGGGCTCAAATAACTAAATACTAAGAAGTGTATTTTAAATTAAATTTTTTTCCAATCTCAAATATATAGATTTTCACTCCAGAAATTGTAGATTTTTTTTCCGATTCAGTGATTTGTTTAAAATTTTATTGTAAACAATATAATACCTGTGGGTACTAGGCAGGATTTTTCCTTACTATGAGTGCCTTTTTTATATTGTGGGCAAGATGAGAATAACTGAAACAACTGTCCCTTAAAATTGCTAAGTTGGTTAAAGGCCAAAGAACAGTTTTTAAAATCTAAGTGTATTACAGAGTGGTCCTTTGAGGAACAGCCGTTAAGTACAAACTTAGCTGTTTAGTCCAGTGTGTTTATAAGGGATACTGCCTATTTCTAAACTTCTTGATTATATATAATTGAGAAGTACTATAATTGGAATATTCTTAAGAGTTTTACTATATTATTAAATAATTAAAGCAGGCAATGATAAATAACTAACCTAGAAAAAGAGAAATATGGTTTCTTCTTGGAAACACCAAATTTTAGTTAATGATACAGAGGATCAATTGACTTTTATTTAGCATTTAGAATAATACAGTAGAAGGAGTTATTAAAGAGGCAGCAGAGACCAGAGAAGGCCTGGGAGAGGGGAAAACTAATTCATATTGATATGTGGCTCACAATAAATCAACCAGGTAAGAGCTTTTATCACATGTATTATTTAAAACAACATATGGGGATTAGGATTTAAAGTGGAAAAAGGGGAAAGTAGTGACTGGATAGTAGTGGGAAAGACTAAAATAGGATCAAGGCACTAAAATCAGAAGTACTGGCAAAAATATATTTTTTTGGTTTGTTTGTTGTTTGGTTTCTGTAGAAATAACCACCACAAAGTTTCAGTTGGACTATCATGGTATTTCAGCAACTATAGTCCCTCAGTTTATGTTTTTTTGGCTAAGGGCATGTACTGATAAACAAGACAGTGGATCAAGTCTTATCAAATTTGTCACTTAAGCTGGGCAGAACATACCCAAAGGACCTGGAATTTTCAGAGACATCTGTAACAGCGTGACCTCGTAATTCACCTTTCTCCTTCTCGTGCTGGACCACGCCTAGAGCCCAGCCTTGAGGATGGACACTGGGTCACATGCTCCCATTAGGGTTCCGTACCTTGTGAAGTCTCTGATTTTTAACTTGGTTACCATGTAGGGTCCTAGGCTCACAGCTTTTCTTCATGACTTTCTGCCTCATTTTACCCTCTCCTCCTAAGTCTTGGAAAAACTGTAACTGTCCTGGGCTGCCCTACAACTTCTAAAGTCCTACTCAGAAATAGTAATGTGGAAGGGGTCAAGCCAAAAGGATTTAAATGGCCAGATTGGCTAGACTGTATGAATAAAGAGGAATATGTCATGTGTGAGGGTATTGCTTTAGAGAACCTTGCTTCAACTGTCATATTTGACATATAAATCTGCAGACAGTATTAATATGAGGTCTTCTTTTTCAGAACTCTTTAGATCATGGACAACCAAAGTAAGTACTTTGCTTTGTTTATCTTCCTCCCTATAGTGTTCATCCTGTCGTTACTGGTTTTTGTGACTATGTTTTACTTGGTTTCAGAAAGGGCACGATTTGCTTTGTGTTGTTATGCTCCAGAATCTAATGGCTAGTTCAGTAGTTGGACCATAGACAAGATATAGACAAAAGCCCCCTTTTCACCCTTTAAAAAATCTAAGAGTATTTCTCTGATAATGAGTAATGTTGAGCATCTTTTCATGTGTCTGTTAGACATCTGTATGTCTTCTTTGGAGAAATGTCTGTTTAGTTCTTTGACCCATTTTTTGATTGGGTCATTTTTCTGAAATTGAGCTGCAGGAGTTGCTTGTATATGTTTGAGATTAATCCTTTGTCTGTTGCTTCATTTGCTATTATTTTCTCCCAATCTGAGGGCTGTCTTTTCACCTTGCTTATAGTTTCCTTTGTTGTGCAAAAGCTTTTAAGTTTCATTAGGTCCCATTTGTTTATTTTTGCTTTT